ATTCTTCATGTTCCTTCAGAAATATTTTTATAGTGGCAGTATTATGCTGTGGTTGCAAGCATATGATCCAGAGTAGGCCAATTGAATTCTCTCTCAGGACTTAAAATTTGAATAGAATATCAGAAGAATGAAGTTGGAGTTTATGAAATCTAATTAAGAGAGCCAGATAAAAACGTAGCTAGTTTTATTATCTAGATCCTTATAACTGCCCTCTCTCCTCTTCTTTTGGAGGGTTTTCCTTTGCTTCTGTGATCCTATTAATCTTCCTTCCTTCCTTCTTTCTTCCTTCTTGCCCTTTCTCTCTCCCTTAGACCTCTCTTCTTTTTTCTTTTCCTATCTCCCTTCACTTCCTTCCTCCCCTCCCTTTTCCTGTTCTCTCTCTTCAGCTCTAGTCCAATCCCCTCATCTTGTTTGTGTCTCTAGAGTTCATTTCTATCATTTCCAACCAAAGAATTGATTTACGCTGTAAAATGCTTAGCTTGGTAACTGGTAAATAATAGTACAAATAAGTAAGTTTTGTGGGAATTCTATGAATCGTGTTATTCAGAACCAAGTATAGAAGTGTTTAGTGAACATTTGTTTATTGGATATACCTCATATAATGAGAAAAAGGTAAAGTTAGAAATCATAATACCTGATTTTTGAGTCCCTAATCTGTCAGTCAGAGTCCTGGTGTGGCGCTGTGGGCTAATGCATCAGACTGCAAAGTCTTTTGAACTGAAAAGTTGGTGGTTCAAGCTCACCAGCTACTCCTTGGAAACCCTATAGAGGGTCGCTATGGGTTGGAATTGACTCGATGGCATTTAACAACAACAACAGTCTGTCAGTCAGTAGCCTCCTGGAATTGGTTTAGTGTTTGTAGGCCTTTGTTTTCTAATCTCCTGGATGAAGAGTTTGATCTCTAATGTTGCTCTGTGTAAATTGTCTAGAAAAATAATTGTCATATTATAAGTCCTTAAATCCAGCTTAATCTTGTTGTTGTTGTTATGTGCCGTGGAGTCGGAACCGACTCATAGCGACCCTTACAGGGTTTCCGAGGGTGTAAATCTTTACGGGAGTAGAAAGCCTCATCTTTCTCCCGCGGAGCAGCTGGTAGTTTCGAACTGCTGACCTTGCGGTTCACAGCCCGAGTCGTAACCACTACGCTACCAGAGCTCCTCTATAGAGTGTAAATTGAAGTTACTTTCCCAAACAGTTACTTCAGCAGAAAGAAAGTTGTTGTTGTTAAGTTCTGTTGAGTCAGTTCCAATTCACAGTGACCCTGTATAGGATTTCCAAGGAGTGGTGGGTGACTTTGAACCACTGACCTTGTGGTTCAAATCGACCTTGTGGTCCAGTGCTTTATCACACAGTGCCACACCAGGATGTAGTATAGATGATTTCCTGTTTGCTTATTAACACAGGAATGGTTAATATGGTATACAGAGTTGGAGTTATTAAATTTACTGAAATTGAAAGTTTCATTTTATATATGTGTTTGTGTGTGTGTGTGTATATGTTGGTGTATTTTTCTTCAGTTAAGACCATACCTCTTTCATTTGATTCTCATAAGTATTATTGATCTTACACAAGAAAAAAATCAGTGTCTTCATTATTCTGATTCTTTGACAGTGTATACCCAACTGTGTGATTTAAAAATCAGGAAAGGTATATGCCAGGGTTGTATCCTTTCACCATACTTATTCAGTCTGTATGCTGAGCATATAATCCAAGAAGCTGGATTATATGAAGAACATGGCATCAATTGGAGGAAGACTCATTAACCACCTACGATATGCAGATAAAACATCCTTACTTACATATGGGAAGCAAGATGGACTTGAAATACAACTGGACCAATAAACAACATTATGAGAAATGGAGGAAAAATTGAAGTTGCCAAAGACTTTATCTTACTTAAATCTACAATCAACACTCATGGAAGCACAAGTCAAGAAATCAAGAGTTATTTGGTAAATCTACTACAAAAGACAAAAGAACAAAGATGTCAGTTTGAGGAGTAAGGTGCACCTGACCCAAGCCATGGTATTTTCATTCACCTCATATGAATAGGAAAGCTGGACAATGAATAAGGAAGACTGCAGAAGAATCAATGTATTCGAATTAAGGTGTTGCCTAAGAATATTGACAATACCATGGACTTCAAAAGAACAGACAAATCTGCATTGGAAGAAGTGCAGTCAGAAAGATTAGAAGCAAGAATGGTGTAACTTTGTCTCCCAGACATTGGACATATTATCAGAAGGCACTAGTCCCTGGAAAAGGACTTTATGCCTGGCAGAGTAGAGAAACTGCGAGAAAGAGGAAGACCCCCAACTAAATTGATATGATGGCTTCAACAATGAGCTCAAACATAACAACAATTGTGAAGGTAGTGCAGAACCATGCAGTGTTTCATTCCTTTGTACGTAGGGTAGCTAATGAGTCAGAACCAAATTGATGCCACCTAACAACAATTAATGAGACTAAGGCAAATGTATTGCTGAGACAACTTGTCTGCAGCCATTCACTGATTGCAAAGACATGTTTAAATACTTTTGTTTGGAATATACTCGAACATTAATGAGCTGGAATGCAAGTATCAATGCTTTTTTACTTACCCTTGTATATATAAAATGAAACTCTGGAAGACTGAATATTAGAACCGTATTTCTTAGAAGACACTCAAGAAATATTGCATATGCAATATGTGCTAAACCCGAACCAAATCCACTGCTATGAAGTCTGTTTTTACTTCTTCTTGCTGTTCAGTGCCATCGAGTTGATTTGGACTCATAGCAACCCTGTATAGGGCTAATTGTTGTTGTTGTTGTTGTTAAGTGCTGTCAAGTTGGTTCCGACCCATAGCGACCCTGTATAGGGTTTCCAAGGAACAGCTGGTGAGCTTTAAACATCTGACCTTACAAACTTTACAGTCCAGTTCATTAACCCACAACATAATAGGTATCCTAAAGAGAAAATAGAACCTCCCCTATTAAAGTATTCCCAAAGCTATATATCTTTATGGAAGAAGACTGCCATGTCTTTCTCCCATAGAGTGACTAGTGGGCTTGAACTGCTCACCTTTTGGTTAGTAGTTGAGTTCTGTTAACATTATGCCACTCCTTGTATGAAATGTATCCTCACCAGAAATTCTTGATTACTCATTTGAGACAAAAGTAGAAGTAGGGAAAAAATTCATTCCATGCTACTGTTGTTGTTGTTAAGTGCCCTTGAGTCAGTTCTGGCTAATAGAAACTATGTATAGGATCTCCAAGGAATGGCTGATGGGTTAGTAGTCCAGTCCTTATCCTATTATTCCACACCAGGATTCCTTGTCACTGTAGTTCTTATTGGTAAGTACCCTGGAGTTGGTTCTAGCTCATAGCAACCCTTTCTAGGGTTCCTGAGACTCTAAATCTTTTTTCAAAAAAGCTTTTATTGTGAATTGAGTGATAGTTTACAGGGCAGATCATCAGTTTTTCATTCAACCAATAATTTTCTGTTTCATTGCAATGATTATAATTCCCTCCAAACACCATTGGTTAACAATATTCACCTTTACTTTACCCCCCTCCTTTTTTTTTTTTTCAAATTTTTTTTTTTTGGTGTACAGAAAACATATAGTCATTTAAACAACCAAAAGGCACATTTTGCAAGTCAGCCTCCTGCTCTCAGGTTCCATGGGTCTCAAATCCTCTGCTGCTCTGTCTGCCTATGCCATTGCTTCTGCTTCCATCTCTGTTGTCATAGCTTTTCTGGTTAGTGTCACATGCTCTGTTCATGCTCTTCCCTCTTGATGGTCCTGGGGTTCTCTGTTCCTGAAATGTTGTTTCACATCTTCTACCTTTACAGTTGTGACAATTGCAATTACTCATGAAGACAGTTATTCACTATCAAAAGATTCCTCTTTCACCCCCTTTCACAAGACAAATCTGGACAAAAGGAAAACTATTCAGCGGGGATTCTACCTTACCCCATTGTTCTGAAACTATACACACTCTTGAAAATTTGTAAGCCAGCCACTTTGTGCCTTTATAGCTCCCCATTTTTGGTAGACAATGTCTAAGTTGCCCGGCTCTATTAACCCTGCGTGCTGAGGGGACAGGCTTGATCCTTGTTATGAAGAATCTTTCCTTTTTGGTTGGAATTTTGAGCAGCTACATCGATGCACAAAGGTCCAGTCATCAAATTGTAGTGATTTATGTTTACTTCCTATATCAAGCTTTTTATCTTCCTGTAGTCAAGTTCTGATGAGCAAGCCATCCAAGCTAAGTCAAATGGTACTATCTGCAAGTTTGGGTGCTCCGCACATCAAGGCTCTAAGTTTTTGCAGGAGTAGAGTGCCTCATCTTTCTCCTGGGGAGTAGCTGGTAGGATCGAACTACTGACATTGTAGTTCTCAGTCCAATGCTGGTCCTACGGAACCACAGTTCCTTAAAGGTTCAAAATGTTCATGTTGTTTAGAATTCAAATGGCAAGAAATACTAAACATGTATAAAGAGGAAAGATATTTTAAATGAAATTAATCTTACTGTGACCTATACCTGTCACTTTTATTCTCACTTACATTGACATTTTTATAATGAGCGTTTGTATGTTGGTAGATTGATGTTTGAAATTAAAGGACATTAAGCCAAGACTTTCAGAATTTGCAAAAGAATTTCTTTTTGAGGTGTAAGATTAATAAATTATTTTTTCTTCCTATCAGATGTTGTAATGGATTGAAATAAAGTGAGAGGCCTAATATTGAATATTTTAAGAGGCAGACAGTTTCTCAGCATCATTTTACGAAACATTGTTTAGTGCCAGGGAAGGGAGTGAATTAAGACTTCATGACACATGATTATGTCTGTATCTGAGATGGAATATTTCTTTTAATTTGTTTCTCTGTACCTAGCACCTAGCACAGTGCCTTGTTAAAAAAAGTAGTTTAAGAGTAAGAAAATGTCATGCAGATTAAGTGAATACAAAGAGTTTATGTAAAAAGTTTTCTCATATGGTTTAATTTTTTATTATAGTTGGTGACTAAAGGAGTAAAGAATTCTGATGAGTCCCTGCCTTTAGGGCAGTGTGAAACTGGTGGCTCTCTATCAAAGCAACATTTTAGACCTGTTATTTCTGTGACTTCAGCTTTGAAAGAAGTGGCTATGGTAAGTTTTCTAAAATTTAGACTTGCTCAGTCAATGCATTATTTAAAGGGAAATTTAATTTACTGAAATCATATTAATTCCTAATGCACTATTGGTTTTTTCCTAGTAAAATATTACCTCTTCAAATTTTTATATATGAGTTACTCTGAATATTAGAGTCTTGTTCCTCTGCGTTTCTATGTCTAAGACTACCCAATAGTTAAGAATATATTAAAATGACCCTCTGTGTTTTATATTTTAAGAGAATATTGCATAACTGAAAAATAAATAGGAATATACTGAAAATAATGTAACAAACATTCTTGAATCTTACCCCTCACATTCAATAAATGTTCAGATTTTAAAAATAATGTTTCTGGTTAAGTAACTAACTGTAAGAATGAATTCCCAGACATGCTTGAAGTTTGAAATTTTGTACTATAGCAAATTTTAAGTGAGATCTGTATTATTGTTGTTAAGTGCTGTTGAGTCAGTTTCGACTCATAGTCACCCTATATAGGATTTCTAAGGAGCAGCTGGTAAGTTGGAACTGCCAACCTCGTAGTTCAAACCAAACTTGCAGTCCAGCCCATTAGCCCACAGCACCACACCAGAACTCCAAAGACCTGTATAATCACATTTTATTCATTAATTATTTCTTTT